GCAGGCGTGCGGGCGCACTAGGCAGCGCCGTAGCGCGTGGGCAAGACAGGGCAGCAGCGCAACGGCGTGCTGGGCAGGGCAGAAACGACGGGCCGGGCAGGAAAAAAAAAGTGACTGCCGGGCAGAGCGGAGCGAATACGGTGGGCCCTAAAAAAAATCGGTCCTAACCGGGACCTACTTTGAAACCATGTCAAGAAGGAATGATTGCATTGAGCAAGAAGACGAGTGCAAATATGAAACCCTAAAGGGTTGTACTCACTAGAGTATGCCCCACTACAGCCTAGAGACATACAAACATGATTTGACATGCTGGCGCGGTGGGCAACGAGGCGCGCTGGGCAGCGGGATGCGATGGCGCGGTGGGCAGCGGCGGGACGCGCTGGCGCGCTGGGCAGCGGGGCGCGCTGGCGCGGTGGGCAGCAGGGCGCACTGGTGTGTGGGGCAGCAGGGCGCGCGAGGCGTGCGGGGGCGCGCGGGGCAGTGCGCACACTAGCAGGCATGGCAGTAAACGTGTCAGAATATTATATTGCTTACATTGTGTAGACTATAGTGGGGTGGGTAGGCCATAAGGGGTACAACCCAATTAAGGTTAGTACTTGTACCCAACTCTTTCATAGTTCATTCATTCTCATTCATTCTTCTGACATGGTTTCAGGGCAGGTCCTTCGCTAGGACCGTTTTTTTTTTAGGGCCCACCACAGAGCTGCCCCACGAACTGCCCCTAGCAGCTAGTCGCGCTGCCCCTAGCAGCCCACGAACCGCCCGCCTCCTCGTCACGGCCCTCGCGCCGCCCCTGCAGCCCGCGTGTCACCCACTTGCGACCCGCGCGCCGCCCCTAGCAGCCCTCGCGCTGCCCCCCTTTGCAGCCCGCTAGCGGCCCGCCAACCGCCCCTGCAGCCCGCGCACCGCCCGCTAGCGGCCCGCTCGACGCCCCTGCAGCCAGCGCGCCGCCCACTAGCGGCCCGCCAGCCACCCCTGCAGCCCGCGCGCCGCCCGCTATAAGCCCGCCAGCCGCCCCTGCCGCCCGCACGCCGCCCGCTAAGCGGCCCACCAGCCGCCCCTGCAGCCTGCGAGCCGCCCGCTAGCGGCCCGCCAGCCTCCCTTGCCACCCGCGCACCGCCCGCTATAGGCCCGCCAGCCGCCCCTGCCGCCCGCGCGCCGCCTGCTAAGCGGACCGCCAGCCGCCCTGCAGCCCGCGAGCCACCCGCTAGCGGCCCGCCAGCCGCCCTTGCTGCCCGCGCGCCGCCCGCTAGTGGCCCGCCAGCCGCCCTTCCCGCCCGCACGCCGCCCGCTAGCGGCCCGCCAGCCGCCCCTGCTGCCCGCGCGCCGCCCGCTATCGGCCCGCAAGCCGCCCTTGCCACCCACGCGCCGCCTGCTAGCGGCCCACCAGCCCCCCCTGCAGCCCGCGCGCCGCCCGCCAGCGGCCCGCCAGCCGCCCCTGCCGCCCGCGCGCCGCCTGCTTTCGGCCCGCCAGCCGCGACTAGGCCCACTAGCCGCCCTTGAGGCCCACTCACCGCCCCTTGCAGCCCACGTGCAGCCCCTTGCCGCTCGTGCGCCGCCCCTTGCAGCCTCCTCGCCGCCCTTTCCAGCCTGCGCACTGCCCTCTCACAGCCCGCTCGCTCCCCCTCTGCGCTACCCGGCTCCTGCCCGCTCTGCGTACTGCGCTGCTATGGCTTCTCTCCGCGTACTCGCGTTTGATCATGAGGGCCGCCCGATCCAGTTCGACACGTGGCTCGACGACATGCAGCTGTACCTGCTGAGCGACTCTAGAGACAGTGTTTCGCTGTTTGACCACACGTCTGGAGCTGCTCCCGCCCCTCCCGCCACAGCTGACAGTGCGACTCGCTCACAGTGGCTTACTCGTGACGCTGCTGCTTGCTTAGCCATTCGCAACCACTTACCGTTGGCCAAATGCGCTCACTTCGGACAGCACAGGACTGCACAGGCCCTGTACGACGCTGTAGTTGCCCCACCTGTTTCCCAAGATGTCCGCCTTTGCCACAGTGGAGGACTTAGTTACCCACCTTCGCACTAGCGATGCTCACTACCGCGCTGCCCTCCCAGCAGATTTCCTTGACAGGAACCCACCTCCGATGTACATCACTCTCTAATTTATAGTCACCCGCCTCCCTGACTCTCTTCGCGCTGTCATGGACCACTATCTCGCACTCGATCCCACAGTCCTCACTGTTGAGCTCCTCGAGCAGCACCTCCTTACAGCTGAGACTAGTTTAGTCGCTGTAGGTGCCGCTCGTGGCACTCCTCGCACGCCCTTCTTTGAGGGGTGTTCCCCCTCCCCCCTTGCCCCCTCCTACGCCTCTGCTGCTGCTGTTGATGTCCTTGGTGCTGAGGATGTCGGGGCTGCTTCTGCTAGTGCGAAGTGCCGCAGCAGCAAGGGCAAGGGTGGCAAGGGTGGTGGTGGTGGCAGCGGGGGTGGTGGTGGGGGAAGCAGTGGAGGTGGTGGCGGCAGCGGAGGTGGTGGTGGTGGTGGGAGTGGTGGCTGGAGTGGGGGCTTTGGCAGCGGCGGTGGTGGCAGCGGTGGGGTTGGCGGTAGTGGCGGCAGTGGGAGTGGTGGTGGTAGGGCTTGAGCTGCTCAGCGGGGAGGTTCTGGCGGTGGTCAGCGGCAGGAGCAGCAGCGTCGGAGCAAGACCCCGTCTCCCCAGCAGCTTCGTGAGTGGTTTTTTCAGCGTGAAGCATCTGGGGGTAGTGGTAGCTGCCCGTATGTCATTCGCACGGGTGACCGTGCTGGTCAGACATGCGGGAAGCCTCACACTCAGTACCGCTGCTTCTCCCGCCTAGACGACGCTTGGCGCGCAGAGTTTGGTGACAAGGCCGAGCTCCCCCGCTGGGCAGAGCTGCTTAGGTCGCAGGTTGCCATCTTTGATCTTGACTTTGATGCTATCCTTGCTGCTATGTATGCATTGTCTGTTAGTGCTGAGGGTGGCTGTTACCTGTGTGTGCCGCCTGACCCAGGTATAGAGGCTGCTGCTCTAGGTGCTAGTGAGTCTGCTCTCCCTGGTACTGCGCCTGCTGAGGCCTTACACACCATTACGCTTGACTCAGGTGCTTCATGCTATTTTTTTCGGGACAGCACCACCCTCACTCCTCTCTCTGCACCTGTCCTGGTCAAACTGGCTGACCCCTCAGGGGGCCCAGTTCTTGCCACTTCCTCCACTGTTCTCCCGTGTTCAGCGGCTCCATCCGGTTCACTCTCAGGTCTTCACCTCCCCTCGTTCTCTACGAACTTGGTGAGTGCTGCTGCCCATCAAGATGCCATGGTCATGACCACCACTCCTGGAGGTCAGCGTGTGCCGATCTGCACGTGTACCCGGACGGGCCGTCACCTGGCCACGTTCACTTGTCGGCATGGGTCGAGTGTGTACACACTGGCTACCGAGCCTCCTCAGGTAGCTGCGAGTGCCCAGGTGTCCACATCAGGTAAGGTAGCACCCCCTTGCTCGTGTCGCCTCCTGTCGCACCAGACTCTTCTGTGGCACCACCGCCTCGGTCACCCCTCCCTGCCACGCCTTCGTGGCATGCACTCTCGCCTCCTTGTCTCTGGTCTTCCCGGGTCTTTGCCTCCCCTCCCGCCCTCGCCTGCCCCGCCCTGCCTTCCTTGCGTCGAGGGGCGGCAGCGCACCGCTCCTCACTCCTCCTCGTTTCCCCCGACGACTGCTCCCCTGCAGACTCTCCACATGGACGTGTGGGGCCCTGCCCGCGTCAGTGGACAGAACCGCGAGCGCTACTTTCTGCTGGTTGTTGATGACTACACACGCTACACTACGGTCTTCCCCTTGCGCAGCAAGGGTCAGGTCGTTGATGTCTTGATCTCTTGGATCTGCGCAGTCCGTCTCCACCTCCGCGAGCGGTTCCGCCAGGACCTTCCTGTCCTGGGAATGCACTCTGACAGAGGTGGTGAGTTCTCCTCCGACCTCTTGCGGGACTTTTGTCGGGGGGAGGGCATTATCCAGTCGTTCATGCTTCCGGACTCCCCTCAGCAAAATGGGATTGCTGAGCGCCGCATTGGCTTAGTCATGGAGGTCGCTCGTACCTCCATGATCCATGCGGCTGCTCCCCATTTTCTGTGGCCGTTTGCGGTCCGGTACGCTGCACATCAGCTCAACCTCTGGCCCCGTGTCTCCTTGCCGGAGACCTCGCCCACACTGCGTTGGGCGTGTTGGTGCAACCCTACGGTTTGCACTCGGCTTGTTGTCCGTGTGCGTGAATGTGTGTGTGTATGGAATGGTATGAGGGCATGGGATAATATATATTTCATGCTTATAATTGTGTGTGAATGTTGAGTCATGATGTCGAGTGTGTGTGTCGAGTCAATAGCGAGTTATCGCTAGACGCGTGTTACGCGGTCGTTTGTGTCTCGCGCGCGGTTTCTATTTTGTCGTGCGCGGTTTCTATTTTGTCCTGTGTCGAACGTTCGGCGTGTCGCAGGTGTGTGCAGCAGACCCATCAAGAACTCAAGGATGAGTTTGTGATGAAGAGCCCGAGCCTTGGTGTCAAGCCTCAAGTGATTTCGAAGCTTGCCAAAAGGGTACACCTCAAGATATTGAAGATAGTTACATTACTTTGTGTAGTGTAACATTTCACTTGGTGTAGGCCCTAGTGGAGGGTAGTTTCGAGACCTTTCGTGGTTGGGGACAGTGTGGCACTGTTCCACATCACTGTACCTCGGCTCTTGGGGTTTGTAGGAGCTGGGAGTCATTCCCAACTCGTAACTCTCCTAACTCTTCCTATCTTGTGTTCTAAGACTATAGTGGCTGCCATAGTACCGTTCGTTCAAACCGACGCTGTGTCGTCAATTCTTTATCAAATCGTGCAATCTAAATTGATAATTGTAGAAGACATGAAGACGCTCCAGAACGCTATCAACGTTTGAATCCGCTGTGCAGAAATCCGTCTGTGCTCTCTATCTTTCGTTTTAGGCACATTCAAGCCTATTGTGACTATAACAAGTGGTATCAGAGCCCCTTGGAGCAGTTTCGACAATGTCTGGACCTGAGGAAAGGGGTGGCAGAGGTGCTGGTGGCAGTGGAGAAGCTCAAGCTCAAGGCCAACCCCGTGATTCAGCCATGGCGCCCATGCAACCAAGTCTTGGCCCACCTAGGGATGAGCCTAGGGTGTTTGGGCTTGACAAGTTCAACGGTGACGACTTTGCTGAATGGTCCTTCAAGATGGAGAACATCTTTGACCACTATGACCTGCTGGAGGTGATGGAAGGAACGGAGAAGCGCCCCGAGAACGACCCGGAGAAGAGCCCGTGGGTGCGGAAGAGCGCACAAGGCTATCTCTTACTTGGGCAAGCGTTGGGGAGCAGTCAGATCCGTCACATCAAGCCATTCCAGCGTGAACCAGAGAAAGGACCAAAGGCATGGGCTGCTCTCAAGGGTGTACATGCTCCTGCAACAGCAGCGGTAGCGGTGGTGCTGGAACGGCAAATGGCGGCACTACGAATTGAAGAAGACGAAGCGGTTGAAGAAGGGGTGCAGAAATTCTTCGACTTGTTGACGCGGCTTGAGGGAGCTGATTTGAACTACAGTGAGCTCCAAAAGAAGACCAAGTTGCTGGCCTTACTCCCGGATTCATGGTCCTCGCTCATCATCAACCTTAATCGCGACTTGCCCCGCCTCTCGCTTGAAGACGTGAAGCGAGCTATCCTTCAAGAGGATTTCCGCCGCCGTGAGTTGGCGAGTGCGGATGGCGCTGGGGCAGCGAGCATCGGCCGTGGATATGGTCGAGGAAGAGGCAGAGGACGAGGGGGAGGAAGGTTTGGTGGCAACAACTTCGGCGGAGGCCGCAGGAGTGGCGGTTACGGCAGCGACGACAAGAGCTACGGACGCGGTCGCGGCCGATTCGATGGCGAGTGTCACTATTGCCACTGGAGCGGACACATGTGGCGCGACTGCTACAAAATCCCTGATGGTTGGACCCCTGCTCAAGGCCAAGAGGGTAGAGGAGCAGGAGGAGGGAGAGGACGAGGCCGTGGAGGCCGTGGCGGTCGCGGTGGCGGAGCTGCAAACATGAAGAGCGGAGACAACGACAAGGACCCGAGCGACGATCGATACCCGGGTCTATTCTACTTCGTGTCGACGCAAGTACCGGCTGGTCCAGAGAAGGATGAAGGCTTTGAGGAGCCATCAGCTGTAGGGAAGGTGACCCTACACCCCCTGGACTATTGGGTGATCGATAGTGGCGCTACCTATAGCATGACACCTCGCCCGGACTTGCTCACCGAACTCGAGCCGTCACCGGTGAAGCAAGTCACATCGGCTTTGGGGCAGCGAGCAGAGGTGAAAGGCATGGGCAAGGCCATGTTCAAGGGTGCTGATGGGAAGATGGTGGGCCTCAAGAACGTGCTTTGGGTGCCCAGCCTTGCTGCGAACCTGATTTCCGTGCGGCGGTTGCAAAAGGCCGGCATGGACACGAGCTCGAAGGGAGCTAAGACCTACACCGCGAGGCTTGGCGAGCGGATTCTTTGGGACCTTCACGAGGATAGGGATGTCTACAACGAGATGTGGCAAATCCCTGTGGTCCCCATGCCTAAGGAGAGGCAAGTGGCAGCAAGCATCAGCACCAAGGGTGAAGCGGTTGGTAGCGGCGATGGCGCGAACGGTCGCGCTAAGGAGATAAAGTCCAAGAAGTGCAATCTTGGAGGGACCAGCAAGCTCGGTGAACATGAGGAGAGTGGTGCAGCAGCTCATAAGCAGCACAAGGGTGAGGAGAACCCCAAGGCAGCAGCGGAGGAGGAGTACGGAGAGAACATGTGGGGCACTATTGCGAGTGCGTCATTCTCCAATCCGACTTCGGCTACGGGGGAGTGTGATTGGCTCACCTTGCATCGGCGAATGGGGCATGTGGCCCTGCCCATCTTGCAGCAGCTAGTGAAGAATGAGATGGTTGCTGGCATACGTGTGAAGGGGGAGCCCGATGAGGTGCTTGGCTGCCCGACGTGCATTCAAGCCAAGTTCACCCGGTTTCCGTTCCCTAGTTCGGAGGCAACGGCAAAGGCACCGCTTGATGAGGTGGTGATGGACGTGGTGGGCCCCCTGAAGCTTGGAGCTGCTTGAGCTGAGTATTTTCTCACCATTGTCGACGTCTACACCCGCATGACTTGGGTGTACGTGCTGGCCAAGAAGAGCGACGTGGCTGAAACGTTGAAGACGGATTGGTTCCCGATGGTGGAGCGGCAACAAGACCGTCTAGTCAAGTCAATCCGCACCGATCGAGGGGGAGAGTTCCTGAGCAAGGAGTTTGGGTTGTGGCTGAAGAAGAATGGTATTCGGCACTCCCTCACCATGCCATACTCCCCTGCAATGAACGGCATCGCCGAGCGAGCGAACCGCACAATCACGGAGGCGGCACGCGGGTTGCTCATTGAAGCCGGGCTACCCGACTATTTCTGGCCTGATGCGGTGCGGAGCGCGTGTGTGGCCAAGAACAGAGCCTTGACTCATGTGGGAGCAGACAAATGGGTGCCCTATGTGGAGTGGCTAGGAAGGAAGCCAAAGGTGGATATGCTTCGGGTGTTCGGGTGCATGTGCATGGCGCTCGTGCCTAAGCATCTTCGGCACAACAAGCTTGGTGCCAAGGCGGTGTGGGCCGTGCACTTGGGCATGGCTCAAAACAGCAAGGGATGGCTTCTTTGGGACCCATTCACCAAGAAGTTCTTGGTGAGCAGGGACTGCAAGTTCATGGAGAACTTCATGTACAAGGATTGGAAGGCGGAGAATGAGGCGAAGATAGGCGTGCGGTTTGGGGAGGTGAAGAGTTCCGGTTTGGAGCATGTGGAGCTGCCTTTGGAGCTGAGCAGCGGCAGCACAACCACAAGGCAATCCTCCCTTGTGAATGGGGGAGAGGAGGCCAATGATGCAGAGGAAGAAGAGGAGGAGGTGCAGCAAGTGAGCGAGCGTGCACCGTCACTCCCTTCCCGTACTACGAGTGCTCCACGGATTCGAGCCACACCGCAGCAACGCCAAGGCCTTCAAGTCCCTGCAGCTGAGGAGGAAGGAAGGGGGAAGAGGAGAGTTCAACCCCCTAATAGGCTGACCTATGATGCGCCGGGAAAGCAGGGCAAGACAGCCCTGGCCGGAGCGGCAATGATGGTCGGAGACGACGAGGAGAGTGACTACGAGGAGTGTGCCTTCGCGTTCTTCTCTCCGGTGGAGATGCCGGGAGAACCAGCAACTCTCAAGGAGGCTTTGGAGATTAGTGATGCTGAGGAGTGGAAGAAGGCCATGGAGAGTGAGCTGAAGAGCATCGAGGAGAATGACACGTTTGAATTGGTGGAGCTACCGGACGGGCGTACGGCGATAACGTCCAAGTGGCTCTTCAAGATCAAGTCCGACGCCGACGGCAAGATCGAGCGCTACAAGTCTAGGCTTGTGGCGAAGGGGTACCAGCAGAAGGAGAAGGTGGACTATAAGGAGTTGTTTGCTCCTGTGGTGAAGCCGACGACGCTGCGAACCCTACTCGCGGGAGCTGCCATCAAAGGATGGGTGGTGAAACAAATGGATGTCACAACGGCATTCCTCAATGGCGTCCTTGAGGAAGAGATTTTTATGGCGCAGCCAGAGGGGTTTGATGATGGTAGTGGCAGAGTGTGGAAGCTGAAGAAGGCCCTCTATGGGCTGAAGCAGGCCCCTAGGCAATGGTACATGAAGCTGCGCGAAGTGTTGGAGGGGATCGGCTTCACTCCCTCAACGGCCGATCACTCCTTGTTCATGCTTGGCGAGGGGGAGCAGAGGAGTTTCATGGTGGTTTATGTGGATGACATCCTCATTTTCTCACCCTCTTCTGACCTTGTGAAGGAGGTGATGCTGAAGCTTCAAGACAAGTTCAAGTGCAAGGCCCTTGGTGACGTGAGCTTCTACCTTGGGCTCCACATCGAACGAGATGTGGAGAAGCGGTGGATGCGGGTGCATCAACGAAAGTACCTGGAGGCATTGGCTGCCAACTTTGGGCAGAGTGAAGGCCATGTGGCTACACCCTTTCCCTCTGGGTTCAAGTGTGTGAAGGGACCAGAGGAGGAGAGCGTTGGTGAAGAGGAGAGGCGCCGATTTCACTCGTTGGTGGGCAGCCTCATGTATGCGGCGGTAAACACCCGACCGGACGTCGCGTTTGCTACCGGGCAGCTGGCTAGGGTTGTGCAATGCCCTAATGAGGAGCAGGTAGCAGCTGGAAGGAGGGTGGCCAAGTATCTTGGCCAAACACCGACCGTTGGGCTGCAATACTCGGCGGCGGCACAAAGGCGCCAAAAGGGCGCGGATGGTGTTGAACCCGGGCGTTTGTTCCTCACCGCCTACTCGGATGCTTCATATGCATCAGAACCAGAGGACATGACAAGTGTCGGAGGCTTCATATGCTGTGTTGGTGGAGGCCCAACTGCTTGGGAGAGCAAGAAGCAGGTTGACCAAGCTTTGAGCTCGGTGGAGTCCGAGTACATGGCACTCTTCCGTGCCGTACGGGAGATTGTGTGGCAGCGGCGTTTGTTGGCTGAATTGGGGGAGGAGCAGCAAGGACCTACCCCACTGTACTGTGACAGCCAGGGTGCCATTGCTCTTGCTAAGAACCCTGTGTTGCATGGACTCACGAAGCACATGAGAGTGAAGTGGCATTGGACGAGGAGCATGGTAACCGCGGGTGAAGTTGAGTTGCGCTACGTGAAGACCACGGGGCAGCCGGCTGACATGATGACCAAGAGGCTGGTGGAGCAGCAGCATTGGAAGTGTTGCAAGCTGGCTGGGATGGCTCTGAACTGAGAGAGCAACATATCCTAAGGCCAACAATCCGAGGGGGAGTTTGTTGGTGCAACCCTACGGTTTGCACTCGGCTTGTTGTCCGTGTGCGTGAATGCGTGTGTGTATGGAATGGTATGAGGGCATGGGATAATATATATTTCATGCTTATAATTGTGTGTGAATGTTGAGTCATGATGTCGAGTGTGTGTGTCGAGTCAATAGCGAGTTATCGCTAGACGCGTGTTACGCGGTCGTTTGTGTCTCGCGCGCGGTTTCTATTTTGTCGTGCGCGGTTTCTATTTTGTCCTGTGTCGAACGTTCGGCGTGTCGCAGGTGTGTCCAGCAGACCCATCAAGAACTCAAGGATGAGTTTGTGATGAAGAGCCCGAGCCTTGGAGTCAAGCCTCAAGTGATTTCGAAGCTTGCCAAAAGGGTACACCTCAAGATATTGAAGATAGTTACATTACTTTGTGTAGTGTAACATTTCACTTGGTGTAGGCCCTAGTGGAGGGTATTTTCGAGACCCTTCGTGGTTGGGGACAGTGTGGCACTGTTCCACATCACTGTACCTCGGCTCTTGGGGTTTGTAGGAGCTGGGAGTCATTCCCAACTCGTAACTCTTCCTATCTTGTGTTCTAAGACTATAGTGGCTGCCATAGTACCATTCGTTCAAACCGACGCTGTGTCGTCAATTCTTTATCAAATCGTGCAATCTAAATTGCTAATTGTAGACGACGTAAAGACGCTCCAGATCCAATTTGAATCAAGTCATTTGCAGCTGTGAGCAGAACGCTATCAACGTTTGAATCCGCTGTGCAGAAATCCGTCTGTGCTCTCTATCTTTCGTTTTAGGCACATTCAAGCCTATTGTGACTATAACAGGGCGGGGGAGGTTGGCGATGCGTCGGTGTTCCGGGTTTTGGGCTCTCGTCCCTTTGTTCGCGATACGTCCGTGGACAAGCTCTCAGCCCGCACTATTCCCTGCGTCTTCCTTGGCTTCCCCCCTGACGCGCCTGGCTGGCAGTTTTACCACCCCACCTTGCGCCGTGTCCTCCCCTCTCAGGACGTCACATTTGACGAGTCGGTTCCCTTTTACCGTCTCTTCCCCTACTGCTCTGTCCCTCCCTCGCCCCCGCCGCTCTTCCTTGCTCCAGGTCCCCCTCCGGTAGACCCCCTGGCCCCCCAGGGTCCTGCTCCCTCAGGTGTGTCTCAGGTAGACCCTCTCCCTGGTACTGTGCCTGTTGAGATAGATGTGGACTCAGGTGCTGCTCGAGGTGCTGCGTCTGGGGGTGCTGCGTCTGAGGGTGCAGAGCCTGGGGGTGCGGAGCCTGGGGGTGGGGGGCCTGGGGGTACTGAGTCTGAGGGTGCCGGGTCTGGGGGTGCTGAGCCTGGGGGTGCTGAGCTTGGGGGTGCTGAGTCTGAGGGTGCCAGGTCTGGGGTTGCTGAGCCTGGGGGTGCTGAGCTTGCGGGTGTGGAGTCTGGGAGTGTGGAGCCTGGGGGTGCTGCGTTTGGGGGTGCTGAGCCTTGGGGTCCTGCTTCTTCTGGAGGTGGAGCGGGTGCTTGGCCACGACTGTCTCCCCGGCCGGAGCCTCTCTCCCCGCAGCAGCTGCGCGATTGGTTTACTCGGCGCACACGCCTTCGGAGTGGAGCTGGTGGTGCTGGAGTTACTGCTGGAGCTGGTGCTACCGGAGGTGCTGCAGCTGCTGGTCCTCGAGGTGCTCGTACTAGGGGTACTGGAGCTGCCGGGGCTGGTGGTAATAGGGGCGCTTGAGCTGGAGACCCTACGGAGCCTGGAGTTTCTGGGGCTGGAGGCACTGGAGCAGGAGGAGCTGGAGCTATTGAGGCTGGAGTTGGAGGCACTGGCGCGGGAGGCGCTGGAGCTGGAGGAGCTGGAGCTGATGACCCTGGAGCTGGAGGTGCTGGAGCAGGGGGTGCTGCGTGTGGTGGTACTGGTGCTAGAGGCGGTGTGCGACCGCGATCGTACTTCGTTCCCCTGCTTCAGCAGGTTCTTGGTGTTCCGTCTTCTACTGGCCTTACTCCTCGTTTACTGTATCCACCGCCTGACCAGTCGCAGCCGCCGTTACAGCCAGCCTCCCCACTGCCTGCTCCTTCTCCTTACATTGAGCAGACCGGCGGTCTTACAGAGCGTCGTGAGCCTACGTCTCGTCCTTCCTCCAGTGTTCGCACTGGTCGTCTCGTTCCTCGTCCGCGTCCTCCTCTTGTCCCTGGCACACATGCTATGGCACTTCGTCCTTCCTCTGTTCCACTGCGTGTTCCTCTGCCGCCGCCTCCTCAGTCCTCTATTCCTGCCGTCCTTGACCCTGAGTCTGATCGCACTCGTGCTGCCAGTCCCACTCTCTCTCGTCTCCTCGCCACTGTTGTCACTGACCCTTTGTTTTGTCTGAACATTATAGCTTGTACATTTGTGTAGGCTATAGTGGGGTAGCCCATAAGGGGTACAACCCAATTAGGGTTAGTACTTGTACCCAACTCTCTGCTAGTTCATTCATCCTCGTTCGTTACTTTCACATGGAATCAGAGCAGGTCACTTGGGCCCACCACCTGCTACGCTGCGAGTACCCCCCCCTAGGCCCGTCGCTCCTAGCCGTCGCGGCCCGTTAGCTCCTAGCCCCGCGCCCGGCCCGTACCTAGCCCGCGCCCGGCCCGTACCTAGCCCGCGACCAGCCCGTACCTAGCCCGCGCCCGGCCCCGTCTCTCGCCCGCGCCCGGCCTGTACCTAGCCCGCGCCCGGCCCCGTCTCACGCCCGCGCCCGGCCCGTCTCTCGCTCGCGCCCGGCCCGTACCTAGCCCCGCGACCGGCCAGTACCTAGCCCGCGCCCGGCCCCGTCTCGTGCCCGCGCCCGGCCCGTACCTAGCCCGCGATCGGCCCGTTCCTAGCCCCGCGCCCTGCCCGTACCTAGCCCCGCGACCGGCCCGTACCTAGCCCGCGCCCGGCCCCGTCTCGTGCCCGCGTCCGGCCTGTACCTAGCCCGCGATCGGCCCATTCCTAGCCCCGCGCCTGGCCCGTACCTAGCCCGCACCTGGCCCCGTCTCACGCCCGCGCCCGGCCCCGTCTCTCGCCCGCGCCCGGCCCGTACCTAGCCCCGCAACCGGCCCGTACCTAGCCCGCGCCCGGCTCCGTCTCGCGCCCGCGCCCGGCCCGTACCTAGCCCGCGATCGGCCCGTTCCTAGCCCAGCGCCCGGCCCGTACCTAGCCCGCGCCCGGCCCCGTCTCTCGCCTGCGCCCAGCCCGTACCTTGCCCGCGACAGGCCCGTACCTAGCCCGCGCCCGGCCCCGTCTCACGCCTGCGCCCGGCCCCGTCTCTCGCCCGCGCCCGGCCTGTACCTAGCCCGCGGCCGGCCCGTCTCAAGCCCGCGCCCGGCCCGTACCTAGCCCGCACCCGGCCTGGTCCCTAGCCCATATCGGCCCCGTACCTAGCCCAGTGCCCGGCCCCGACCCTAGCCCGTGCCCGACCTCGCCCCTCGCCCAGCGCCCGGCCCCGTCCCTCGCCCAATGCCCGGCCCCGTACCTAGCCCAACGCCCGGCCCGGTCCCTAGCAACGCCCAGCCAGGTACCTAGCTACTGCTCCAGCTACTGCTACCGCCCGGTACTGCCACTGCTGCTACTGCTGCTACAGCTGCCACTGTTGCTACTGCTACTGCTACAGCTGCTACTGCTGCTCCTACGTACTACACAGCTATGCCTTCGCTTCGTGTCCTTGCGTTTGATCATGAGGGTAGACCAGTTCAGTCTGACACGTGGCTTGACGACCTGCAGCTGTACCTACTGAGCGATTCTAAGGACAGTGTCTCGCTTTTTTACCTAGCGTTAGGAGCTGCTAATGCCCCTCCCGCCACAGCCGACAGTTCGACTGGCTCACAGTGGCTTACTCGAGACGCAGCTGCCCGCTTAGCCATTCGCAACCACCTGCCATTAGCTGAGTGCGCTCACTTCGGACAGCACAGGACAGCACAGGCACTGTACGACGCTGTAGTCGCCCGCTACTCCTCCCCTGCCACTGTTCCTCTAGGCCGCCTCCTTCTGCCCTATCTGTGCCCCGAGCTGTCCGCCTTTGCCACAGTCGAGGACCTGGTTTCCCACCTTCGCGCTAGTGATGCTCGCTACCGCGCTGCCGTTCCTGCTGAGTTCCTTGACAGGAACCCGCCCCCGATGTACATCACTCTCTACTTTATGGTCACCCGCCTCCCTGACTCTCTTCGCTCTGTCAGGGACCACTTCCTCTCTCTTGACCCCACCTCCCTCACTGTTGACCTCCTCGAGCAGCATCTCCTCGCAACTGAGACTAGTGCAGTTGCTGTAGGTGCTGCTCGTGGTACTCCGCGCCCGCCCTTCTTTGAGGGGTGTTCACCCTCCCCCCTTGCCCCCTCCTACGCCTCTGCTGCTGCTGCAGACATCTCTGTAGCTGAGGACGTCGGGGCTGCTTCTGCTAGTGCAAAGCGCCGCAGCAGCAAGGGCAAGGGTGGCCGGGGTGGTGGTGGTGGCAGCGGCGGTGGTGGAGGTGGCAGCGGGAGTGGTGGAGGGGGCAGTAGTGGAGGTGGTGGCGGCGATGGGAGTGGTGGCGGGAGTGGTGGCTCTGGTTGCGGTGGTGGAGGCAGCGGTGGGAGTGGCGGCAGCAGAGGCGGTGGGACTGGTGGCGGTGGGACTGGCGCTCGGCGTGTCGGTTCTGGGGGTGGCCAGCGTTAGCAGCAGCAGCGTCGGAGCGAGACCCTGTCTCCCCAGCAGCTTCATGAGTGGTTTCTGCGTGGGCAGTCTGGGGGTAGTTGCCCGTATGTCATTCGCACGGGTGACCGTGCTGGTCAGACTTGCGGGCGGCTCCACACTCAGCACCGCTGCTTCTCCCGCCTCGACGACGCTTGGCGTGCTGAATTTGGTGATGACGTCGAG